TGCCCCATTTCCTCTTTGTTTAATGTGATTTGACGAATATATGGATTTTCACAACCACCCATTACTACTTTATCCGTTATCAGATAATTCAGAAGCACATAAACGGTCGTATTCCACTGGCATCTTTGACTTTTACTTAAGTTGAAGATCTGCGCCACTCTTCTACATATTATGGTAAAATAGCTATAAGTCGCCGGCAGCATCTTTGCGTTTTCGATGGTACCTACGATACTGGCAATGCAAATCTTACCTCTGGTGTGGTGGCAGTATTCGACATTAACTGAAACTATATACTGCACTTACTTGTATTTCATAAGCCATGTGACGCAGAACTCAGTTGTTAATTCATTCATTTTTAGTTTGATTACTGAGGTTCATGAAATCAGGGAGTCTTCTGCAATTCAATCAATTTTATGCGAAGTTCTGCCTAGCCATAATACCTTTACCCTCCGCCTGCAAAAGGGGCTTCATTTTTTGCAGAAATAAGCATCGCTATCACTAGGTGTGAGTTATATTTGGACAAATCTTAGGATGTGAGATGAGATCCTGACTTTTGGCACAGAAGTCTAGTCCGAGCTTCTTCAGAGGACCGACTAAATTCTGCAATATTATATATATATATACAGAGAGAGAGCAAAGTTGTACAGTTGATCTCAATGTCCACTCATCACTGTCTTACGATTAATTTTCAATGCGGTTATTGGTCATTCATACCATGATGCATTGATGCATACGATGTATGGAAGCAAACCTGTGCGGATCGTACTTCAGACATCGTCAGTACAAAACAATGGAGGTCATATGTGTTATAGTCATCAGTACACAAAGCATACATGGTTGTTGTTAGTTGACACAAAATATGTCATTTTCGTGTACATATAAAAAGAATGAAGTGATGTTGATAGGACTAAACTTTTTTTCCTGTGTCCTCTTCGTTTCTTGAATGCCACCACCACCGAGTGAATTGTGATGATAACTGTGAAAAACACGGATACAATTAATAGCACATTGCCTATTGCTGATGGTGTTTTGGGTGATGATGACAAATTAGTGCAAATAGGATAAAACGTAGCACTACTGATAGTGCTTGTTTGGGCTTTATTTGTGAATGATTCTTTGCCACACTGTAGCCAGCAACAGTGCAGCGTCACATAAGAGCCACCACCAGGCTTATTGCACAACGTTTCTGCTGGCCGGGAACGAACAAAGACGTTAAGGAGTGGGCTCAGTCGTCTTTAAATTGTCAGAATTGCAGTCACACGAATAGCCCCTCAAGATTTTTTCTAGCCCCGGAGATGCGTTTCGACCACGTCCATATAGATATTGTAGGAACTCTACCAGGATCTAATGGATATGCTTACCTTTTCACCTGCGTGGATAGTTTTACGCGATGGCCAGGGGCAGTACCTATCAAGGATATTACTACTGAAACTGTCGGTCATGTTTTCGTCGAAAGATGGGTCGCGAACTTTGGATGTCCATCCTGCGTAACAACCGACCGTGAACGCCAATTAGGGTGTAGATTATTTCACGCTTTAACTGCACCTTTACGTTGCACTCAGGCTAAATGACAGCCTACCATCCATAAGTAAATGGCATAGTAGAACGTTTCCATCGGCAAACATACCTCACTGGACCGAGGCTTTGCCTCTAGTCCTACTAGGTATTCGTAACGAGTTGAAAGCTGATGCTGGATGCACCTCTGCAGAACTCGTCTAAAGGGACCACTCTTCGTCTACCATGTGAGTTTGTTTCCCCTTCAACTCGCAAACATGTTTTCGAAAGGACATCTTAAGTGAATAGGCTTACAAACGCAGTGCGTTCAGTTAGGCCTACTCCTGTTAGACCTCAGATATCTGATGATTTTGTTCACCCCGTTTTACACGTGTTCATTCGCCACGATGCCGTTCGTTGACCACTCGAACCACCTTACGATGGACCATTCAAAGTGATCAAGCGGCACAAGAAATTCAACATAATCAAGCAAAACGGGCGTGAAGATACTTTCAGTATCAATCGTTTGAAACCAGCTTATTCCGAAGGTAACCCTACCATAAGTGACGTTTCAGCTCAGTCATAGCCGACTGGCGGATAGCCCAAATATCGAAATTCCTGACGATGTGCCTGGTAATACACGGATACGACAACCATCGGTGCAACGAAATCACGATCAGGTAGAACCGTCAGGTTCCCGGAGAATCTAAAGACAAATTCTACCAAGTAGTGTCAGTTAAAATGTGCCAACCATTTTTTAATTCTAAATTTTTTCGAGGCACCATTTTTTATCTACTTGGAATGCGAAAATTCCGCATTTAACCTCTTTGTATCAATTTTTACCACCACGTAATCATAATTTTTCAAAAAACAAAATGGAAATAAGCATAAAATCTATTTTCGATATATTTTTATGTAAATGTTTCCCATTTTTACGAAGCGTTTACGTGGTATTTAAGCTTTTACTTATATTGCAGGTGCAACGAGCGCTGAACGGAACGTCAAACGACACTGAAGACCGTGATCGACGTAAACTTCGATTTATTGTATTCTATTTTTCATTCATCACGACACCCTAGAATAAGTTCAGACAACCAGGGGCCGCTTCTGTCAGTGAGCCCGTCGAAGGAGTTTTATCAGTGGAGAAACCAATGGGTTTTTACTTCGAGCTGGTATTGTCGTAGGGTCCTCAAGAACCTACTAGGGGGAGATAGTAGCGTCACACACTTCTCCAGAATCAATAGTCTAGCGTCCAATGAGATTCAACATCGATGCTGATCCTCATAGCTTTATCGGACTCGCTAAGCTGAAGACACCCAGTCAAGCATCCACGCCATTTGACACGCTGCCGTGTCACGTTGCACTTCTCGTAATCGACCCTTCAGCCAGTTAGTTGGAACGCATCAGTATGTTGGTACGACCTCACAAATATACTATCCCGCGCAGCTACGTTATTGTCTTCTTTCTTGATCTCGTATTCGTGGGTATATAACAAGTGGGAATAGTTAGTGATTAGCCTCTGCGTTTGTGAAGTTCGCACGACGATAGTTCCTAAGGAAGTGCTATACTGACCGGCATTTCCAGTGTACCGAGGCTGAACACGAAGTGAGAAGAAACATTAAGCAACAAATGCTTCTGTAGTAGGATATAAAATGCTCTTCTACAGCCGAAACTGTTAGAAAAGTTTGGGTGACAAGGTGAAGATTAAATGGAACAGCACAATTTTACTTGGTCCTTTCTTACCGATAGCAAACTCTCTTATCAGGCGATGCACAGGAAAATGAATAAGAATCACTCTAGCTGAGACACCTATATAATCTCAATCTAACTGCTATATCACCTTTAATCGTGATTGAGAAAATCTCATTTTTATTGATAAGTGCCACTCTAGACTTTTATCCAAATTTTCCGTTATACAATGCAGCATGTTGGGTAAAAAACTTCTACTTTCTATGAGCGCATGCTAATCTTGCATCCAGCGCCTACTTAAGGAATTCCTCCTATCCAGACAGTTGCCTATCGACTGATAGCTAAATTGTGAACAGTAACTGTACATTCACTAGTGCTATCAATACATAAATCCAATACAGTAAATGGCACTGATGTGCATCACGCCAAGCTGAAGAATGTGAGTGTAGTTATAAGTCAACTAAGAAAAGTGGTACGTTTTGTAATACAGGATTGTGTAGCTCTTATGATCTAAGTGGTATTTTTCATTGACTAATCAACCTCTTGACTGACTTAGCCTCTGTTCAATATGAAAATAATAAATAGACGCCGACTTATCACTCCTTATGCATAGATTATACCTACAACCCTAACACTCATTACCCTGACTGTGATTTCACTCAAAACTAATCTCTTATATTTCAATCCACCAACCTTCACTTCATAATACTAAAGTGAATATGTGATCCCTCACACGTCATTATCAATGTTGTATCTATAGCCTGCGTTATTCAGAAAAGCAAACTGTGTTTACTACAATGCTTACTTGATTCTACTACTTAGCAGCCCAACTACGTAGAGATCCAAGTCATTTTATGATTAAAATAGTTTAAGAGCTTATATGAATAATGCAAACAAGTTACTTTAAAGGACACTCTAAAAACCGCTTAGATAGCCGATTATGTTCCTTTATTTTATGAAGATCTAACTTACCTGCTAAAATACCGAAACTTGACAAGTTATTTCGGTAGTTCCTAACGTGAGATGTAAAATCACGCTAATTTAAAGGCCATCCTAGCAATAATTGGAATAGTCGATGATGTTTTCCTATTTCGGTTGGAAAGGTGGATTTTCGTAAAATTATGGAGTTTTATTGTTTATTCAGTTGTCATTGGCCAGGAATTTAGAGTTGATCACAGACTTGGCGCGTTACGAAAAGCATTCCCAACAAACTACAGACATTCATCAACAGCTAACGCCTACGCTCACTCGGTGCTGAAGATAGAAATCAGATGATCAGAACGAATAAGCAACAAGGGTTGGTAACGAACCAATCAAGAACCCATCATCCAACAAATATGCAGAAGAATAAAGTGGAGAAGGATTGGATTGGACATAAACTGAGAAGACCATTTGAGGACATCACACACCAGCAAGGGCCTCGAGTGGAATCCAAACAGGAAACGACGAGTTAGGCGTCCGAGGGTGACATGGCAGAGATCGTGTGAGGAAGAAATGAAAGTTTATGGGCAGTCGTGGAGCCAGGTTAAAAAGATTGCAGACAACGGAGTCCAATGGAGACATGCTACTGAAGCCCTATGTTCCACTAGGAACCCAAGAAACAAATAATAAAACAATAATAGATAACTATCAGTTGCTTTAAAAATTTGAAGAATACTGCTTCCATACAACTACTTGTTCTTTCGATCCATATGCGATGAAACCTCGAAGATTAGGCGGAAACGATGTTTAGAATCACTTGTCCGACTATACTAACTTTAAGTGTTTGGCTGGACTACCTGGTAGTAATGGGAATACACCACCTACTTCATTGTTTTCCCGTCTGTAGAGTTTTTTCTTCATACTGTAACATGGATTACCTACAGTGCATTGATAATTACCTGAAAATCCTCTAGTTCTCCGTTCGAGAAGAGCACATTTAAATGTAGGCGTGAAGCCTTACACTTGATAGTTCAACCTGCTTATAGATAGATTAGTACTTAACTTTGTCATGCATCATTAACATTGGAAAGATTTCCAGATACCATCGAAGAATTTGAGCTAATATTAGTAAATAGAATCTCCGGTATTTTAAATGGCCAAGTAGATTAGGTAGTCTTACGATGGTTTCTTTACACGACACTCATGGAAAGAGACAAAGAAATGACGTTCCTTAAGCCCACCAAGGAATAAGAAGGATAGGCAATTCGATTTAATTACTTTCAGAGAATTTGGTCCTCACTTTCAGTTGCATTGAAAATGAGTCCATGAGAAACAAATTGGAAACTTATATATGAAGACTCTTAAGAAGACTTACATTTTTCGGATCGGTGTTTTTTAAAAACTTATGTTACTCATGAAGAAAGCAATTTGTTAAACATGAGGTTACACTAAGTAACGGGACAATATATGAGAGTAGGAATAATTTACAAGTAAAGGCAGTTGAAACATCATATGTATTTGTAGCATTTTTGCTTATTAGGTGGAATACGTGTCTTGAACAGAAGTGAATCGGCTCTATACTGGCTGTAAATAAGAGGGTTGTAGCCATAATGATTGGTTAGCCAGTTAATGCAATGAGATCGAGAAATGTAATGATCAGAACGGTCATGTAAGGTGGAACCACAGTAAACGCAGTCAAATGACCAGTGTAAAGTAACCTAGTGTTTTCAAAAGAAATATAATAAACAGGTAAAGGTTCTGTCGATGAATACTTGCATACAAATTCACTATTTAATATTAGAAAAAACAGTAATACTGTAAAGCATTTATCTAAATAATTGTTTTATGATATATGGAAGCTATATAGTAAGCGAAATTCCAGAAAAACAGGTATACCACAGACTCCAGAAACAGTAAATATGATCAATTCAATGAAAGGCGACAATACTACTTGTGGACTTTGAACAAATGTAGTTAATACAAAAGAGGATTTCCTCCACCACTTTAAACCGGATATGAAAGATTTTCGTATGCATGAGAATTATATCTATGTCTATAAGAGGTTTAATCCCTGTCGTCATCGTTTACTCTCAACCGCATAAAGAACTACCTTAATCTTCCTATCAATGTGAAAAATGATATAAGAAAATAGCTTAAGTGCAGTGATACAATGCGATTTTATTTTAGTGTACTTTCTGAATATGCGGCACAAAAAAAGATGATATATTTTTTTAAGATGACATTTTTAACCAAATTATGTCCATAGTTTAGCTCATATCATTCAGATAAAATGGTTTGAGTCTACTAAATCTATCACTAACTTCAGCTAACGATTATCCATCTAGTAGTGTGTGAAACTGCAGAAGGTCTAGAAGGAAGGAATGGTACCTGCAGATTGGAAGAAGGGCTACGTTGTCAAACTCCCAAACAAGGAAGACATAAGTCTTTGCAAGAACTGGTGCGAAATCATGCTCCTGTCCACCCCAAGCAAAATGTTAGGTCGCATCATCCTGGAGAGACTAAAGGATGCGCTGGATTCAAAATTACCACCGGAACAGGCTGGCTGGATTCAGAAAGTACAAATCATGTGTGGACCGAACTCCAACGCTATGCTACACATGATCATAGAACAGAGTATAGAATGGCAGTCAACTCTATACCTCAACTTCATCCACTTTGAAAAAGCCTTCGACAGCGCCGACCGAGAAGTAATTTGGCAGGCAGCTGCTTCAACACTACGGTTTTAGTGCCACAAACCTTTTTAACCTCATTCAACAGCTATATGATGATGATGCGACATGCCGAGTGATTGACAATGGAAAGCTCAGTGATGCCTTTAAAGTGAAGACAGGAGTAAAACAAGGCTGTCTACTATCACCGATCATCCTTTTGATTGTAGTGGACGGGATCATGCAACAAACAGTGAGGAGCGAGAAGAGGGGCATACGCTGGTCCGGAAAAAGATCCCAGAAGGAGATTTGGATTTCACCGATGACTTGTGACTAATGTCACACAAACTAGAAGACCTACAGGCGAAAACTAACAAGTTGACAGAAGAGGTGAGGCAGTGAAGACGGGACTCAAGTGAACATAGACAAGACAGAGGTGATCATGATACCCAACCAACAACAACAGTAACAACAAGCTCCAATCACCATCAACGGCAGAAACTTAAAGGAAGTAACCTCCTCCGCCTATCTAGGCATGCAGCACTGTTTCAACTACAGGCAGCACAGACGAAGATGTCAAAACCAGCATCGGAAAAGCAAGACAGGCACTCATTAACTTGAAACCAGTGTGGAGATCTGCACTCAGCTCACCATTTGGAACAAGATCCGGATTTTCAACACAAACGTCAAGTCAGTGCTCCAATATGGCTCAGAGACTTGGCACGTTACCAAAGGCATTTCCAACAAACTACAGACATTCATCAACAACTACCTACTCTGGCTCGTTACTGAAGCTCAGATGAGAACGCCAGAAAGAATAAGCAACAAGGAACTCTGGCAACGAACCAACCAACAACCTATCACTCAACAAATATGCACTGGAAGGAAGTGGAGATGAATTGGGCATACACTGAGAAGGCCTACTGGGGACATCACACGTCAGGCCAGGCCGTCAAATGGAAGCCAAATGGGAAACGAGTTGGGCGTCCCAGCTGAGGGTGATATGGAGGAGGTCGTGCGAGGAAGAAATGAGAGCTTGTGGGCTGTCGTGGAGTCAGGTTCGAATGTTTGCAGAGAACAGAGTGCGCTGGAGACGTGCTACTGAAGCTGTATGTCGCACTAGGAACCCAAGGACAAATAATAATAAATAATAAGGTGTGTGAAACAGGATGAAAGTGAAGGTTGTTTGTAGACTACAAGGAACTCACACTTAGTGTGTGATGATGCCTAGATCCCCTAATCTTGATAGTTTTAAAAGATTGAAATTCATGATCCGACTGTTGAGGTTCAGGTGGTGACACTATTAGGCTACAACCTCATAAATGTCAGAAGAAAGATTACTTTAGGCTACATACGTAATACAAAGAATTACACAACGTGAAACAGATGCGTCAATATTCGGGAACTAACATGAAACCTTTTATGAACAACGCGAGGTAGGCAATTTGAATGACGTTTCATTAAAGTCAGAGACATAAAATATTGATATGATTATAAAGGGAAAACATTTAGTTTAAAACAGTAACGGTTCAAAATGCCTTTCAAAATACACTTGTAAGTAGGAATATAAACAAAAATTGTAGCGAAATGAGGTGATGAAATACATCCAGAGAAAAATAGGATCAGTAATGAATCTACATAAAGGAGGGAAGACAGAATGGAATATATTTAGGCGGAAAATAAACGATATACTACCTACATCTTAGCTAAAAGTGTAACAGACGGAAACAACTGACAGTAGGACACAATAATATAACTCATATAATGGAGATTAAATATGAACGGAAATCAGTGTGATTGTACTCTGGATGTTTCACATCACACTGACTACGGGAAACAGTGGAACTGAGCACTGTGTAAGAATCCACACACTAGACAACTACTATATAAGATAAAACTTATCTTTGCGTTTTAAAGTGAAAAACCTTGTCTCGTTAGCTTAAAGCAGACACTTACTTCCCTTCCCAGGTTTCCCAGTAGTGTTAAGACTGATACAAAGATTACGAAACATGAATCATGTGCAAAGTAATTGATATAAACTATGATCAAGATTTGATCGTATAGTATGGCAAATGTTGGGCTCTGAGTAAAAGGTTGGTATTAGATATATAGGCGAATCCAAACAGTTTGGACAGACGAGATGGAGTACAGTTAGCTGCATCTTGGCAATTACTAATTAGTAAGCAGAAAGAGTGACTCAAAGCATTTACCGTCAACACCAGTCTCAACTTCATTATTTCTCTACCAACAACAACACAATCTAGATTGATTTGATTCACTATTACTCCCATTATTTTCATCATCACCATCACTATCATTACTCATTTTCACTCCTTTGCCGGTAAATCAACGGAATACTGTTCACCACCATATTCCAATTAAAATTGCAGATATATCCGCCTCATCCTTTTTGTTGTACCTATAAAATTACCGAGTGACTATAATGTCACCTGTGACTTTTTTGTCTTATATTTACAATTATTAAGACGAATGTGATTTGGAGCACATATATACATACACACGCCATACAACAAAAGACATACAATTTCATAGTGAATGATCCAGTTATCATAATTTAGAAAGACAATGACTATACGAAGAGGATTGGACAAGAAGATTAAACACATACTTTTTGGATTCATTTATATATCCTTGATATTTTAATTTTGATTATTTCCCTGAAGAAACTCGGACCAGACTTCCGTGCGAAATATTGGGATTTATTTGATTTCAACCCCCCTGTGACTTACACAAATACAATCTATATCTAATGAATCATGTGGTTTGCATGCTTTTTTTTAATCAGACACACTAAATGATTATTTCCTACTGTTTTGATGATTTCTTTACGCTTAATTATTCCCTCTTAAGATTTGTCTGGAAACGTGTGGTTCCAGTTACTCCATTGTGGCATTTCCATAATTATCTACAACTGTAACATTGAACTCAGCTATCAGGACTTAAACTTACCACTTTCAATATCAGCATCTAACCTAACTGCACTAAAAGTGATGCTTATTTTTCATGTTAACTTGTTGTACGCCGCATAATAGACATAACTATTAACCACAATGCCACTAATAGTTGATTACTCCAAAATGGTACAAATGTTTGTCCAATTCATTCAAGGATATGGAACAAGTCAATGACACTGAGATACGTCTTAGGTTGATTTAATGTACCCAACAAAGTAATATGGATGTTCTTTTTTTTCTTCTTAGTTTTAAAAAAATAGAAAATTATTAGTGATCAACCTATACCCCGAGGCTTAAACATTTTCAGAGTCAAATAAAGAGTCAACTATCAGTTAAGAAAACAAAGAACTTAAAAAGAAGGAACATATACAAAAGTTAAAGCTTACTTTCAGAGGAGGTTTCCTGGTTATATGAGCGATGAGAAAATTCATAGCTATATCTTCACAATTGAAATAGCTATCTACCATCTTACGAATATCTAATGACATTTCCCATGTGTATGCAAATGTATAGTACTGAAGAACCAAAACAAGGCATATAGTTTTATTTGAAAATTAACAGATATTTAATATTCGATATAAATAAAAACAGAATTAGACAATAACTTCATTCGAATGTCAGTAGTGAATTGTGAAATTTGCAACAATCCGAAAAGAGTAACAATAAAGCAAATAGTCTAACCTTCAAATGAATACATAAAGCAACAAAAATTTCATTTCCAATACTGAAACCCTAATTCAGGACACAAAGAAAGAAAGGCCACACAAGTCTGAGGGAAACGGATGATGTAGTATTATTGCTTGTATTATACCCTCGTTGATTAGACCGAATTAATCGGTCTCTATTGGCATATGGGTTCCTGTGCAGATGCCTCGATACTATCTGTGTTTCAATTCTAGTAATGATGGATAATGGTTAGCAGTGGATAACGCTCTGGCATTTGAAGCGGTCGCGCCGGAGTCTGAATTCCAGTAGGAACAACATCACTCACTGGGAGGCAAGTACATCCAGCTGACGAGTCCCAAATAGGACGAAATGTGCATCCTGGATTTCTAAACTCTACCTACCTTGGTAAACCTTGTTTTCTTACTTCGGTCACGATCGACTGTATCACTCTTCCTTTTCGTTTACATCTTTCTTAATTTTAATCCCCTATTATCCTAATTCTCCTACTTATCCTCCTATTTTTCGGTTTTAGTTTTTCTTATGCACAAAGATAATTGATTGTAAAATGTGAAGGAACACTTTTACAGGAAAATTTCACTTTCAGTATCAATATAACAATCTACTCTGATAGTTGCTACATATTTGGAAGATTAGTATACTTCTAACTAGTACTAAGTACCATAATTACTACATTAAAAGGTATTACAAACTGAGAAGAAATAACCAAAGTTTAGCCTGTATACACTCAGTATAATATATGGGTAGGCAAGCATTTACTATATTCAATGAGAGTCGATATCAAGGTAGAACAAATCATTCACGTAAGTGAAAGTCTTCTCATTGATTTTGTCAGGGAAGCCCATAGTCCTTATATTCCATACTTACAGTTTTGTGTATATTGAACTGGTTTATTTGCACTCTTTTCCAGCGCATAAGTCATATTTCGTATGATCCGCTATTGTTCTGATTGGCTCCTATCTCTTTAAATGTACTAATTATTCCTTGTCTTTCAAAGTGACTGTAAACTCTATAACTAGGGTCCGTTTCAACTGATAAATATTTTCAGTTCGAGATACAATAAACTCATCTAGTTTCCAGTCATTTAATTTCTCATTGCGAATCACTCGGGTTGCATCGTCTCAACCCTCGACTACTAATCGTTAAGTATTTTGGTTCGTTCTCACAACTCCACATCATAACAGATTTGTTTGCAGCAAAAAAATGGTTGAAAACTACACTACACTGATTAGCAGATACCAGATAGAAAACACTCTTACAGGATAATCATAGAATTATATCCAAGTATTCAGTAAACGGTAAATTTATCCAACTGATTGAAAACGCAGTGACGTGCATTTTTCTCTTATCATACATTAGTAGACAAGTTTAAACATACTAAGAGTTAGAAAGATAGACGTATAGTTGTAACAAAACTAATATCCTCAATAATAATTCACCCACTACTTCTCAATAACTGTAACTAACCCAGTTATTAATGAGCTATAAGAATCTCAGAAAGAGAATTCGCTCATAACTTCATATATATGCATTGGATTTTGATCTTAATCATAGATTATCCGAGCAGTTTTCTTAAAACATTAAGGCAAACAATGCAATATCAACTATTTACTATATAATCACCAAGACCTACTGACGTTCATGGTCTTGTTGAGTAAGAAAACTTCGATATATATATAACCTTATTTTATAATGATGAAGATCTAACAGGTGAGTTGTTTCTTCTTCAAGTCGATTGACAATAGGCTGACATAATAATGCAATAATAGACATGAAAATGCATTACATATTTCATTAGTTGCTTTGACAAAAGCCCGGATGTTGATATGAACGAATTTTAGTGGGAATTGATGAGATTTAAGAATTCTATGAGTTTCCATTAGGTAAATTTGAACAATAAATATAGGTGATCAACAACACTGTTCTTAACTAGATCCACCTCAGACTTTACTCTCCTCTGCAGAACTTCGTTCATTATTTTCCAGTCTCTGCTCATACTGGATGATAAGTTACCTAGTTTTTTTGTTTTTGTGTATTCACAAAATCATCTTCTCCTGTGAAGAAAGCTACACAGAGCGTACTGTCGGGAAGCTTAAAAGACATGTTGCTGAGCATCTACCTTCGTGACTGGAAAACAGGTAGACGTAATATAAGAAGCTCAATCTTATATCATTTACAAGTGGTAACTTCATAGATAAAACCAATGTATTCAAGATTATCTATTGCATGCCACATAACTTTTCGGATGGTATTAAAACTCATCTTTTACACACTGACAGCTATGGGAATTAGAGGTAGTAATCTTAGACTTTGCATCTATGAGAAATTTTTTCATCCTTGACCAAAAAAACTTAATAAACAGCTCTATCATTGAAATTTTCCCACCCCCTTCCCATTCTTAGCCCGCTCTCACACACAATGCTTTTCCTAGTTTTCGTTTATTCACTTTTCAGTATCACGCAACTTTTGTTGATCCAGGCTCCTGACCTACTTTAGGTCACTGAAGTGCTTGCATTTCTGTACTGTTTTCATAGTTCGTGTCATCATGTTCTGCATCACTACTGCTAAATTACACAGATAAATATATATATATCTAATGTCTTGTAGCACAAACTCGAAGATCTACTGGTAGAAGAGATAGGGCAACGAAGACGGGACTTCCCTCATGTGAACACAGACAAGACAGAGGTGATGAAGATACTCAACCAGCAACAACAACAACAACATCATCAACAAGCACCAATCACCATCAACGGGAGAAGTCTAAACGAAGTTGTCTCTTTCAACCACCCACTCACCTACCTACATACCTACCTACCTAGGCAGCATCGTCTCAACTACACGCGACACAAGCACACATGACGACATCAAAGCCAGCCAGCCAGCCAGCATCAGGAAAACAGCAAGACAGGCCTTCCTGCATTAATCTGAAATCAGTGTGGACATCTGCTGCTTTGCACTCTACTCTACTCAGGAGAAAGCGTGAACAATATCCCGATTTTAAACACCAATTCAGTCAAGTCAGTGCTTCGATGTGATGGTTGACAGACTTGGCATGTCACGAAAAGCATTCTCAACAAACTGCAGATATACATCAACAGCTGCCGCCTACACTTACTCGATACTGAAGATGGAGATCAGATGGCCAGAATGTAAGAGTAAACAACAAGGGTTGGCAATGAACCAATCAAGAACCCGTCACCCAACAAATATACAGAAGAATAAAGTGGAGATGGATTCGATTGGACATAAACTGAGAAGACCATTTGGGGACATCACACACCAGGCAAGGGCCTCGAGTGGAATCCAAATAGGAAACGACGAGTTGGGCGTCCGAAGGTGACATGGCGGAGATCGTGTGAGGAAGAAATGAAAGTTTATGGGCAGCCGTGGAGCCAGGTTAAAAAGATTGTAGAGAACAGAGTCCAATGGAGACGTGCTACTGAATCCCTATATTTCACTAGGAACCCAAGGGACAAATAATATAATAAGTATACCTAATGCATTATTTCCTTGAATTATTAGGTAGATCTTCACACTCGGCAATGTAACGTGTAACAGCTGATTAAAGTACCTTGTTGTCTAGACGTCGGTAGATGGAGCAAAGTTGAAACCTGTGATTTCTGATTGAAAATCGACAATCTATACCGAAGCCAAAGCTTCATCTTGAGACTTAGATTTTTAAGCTTACTTTGTAAGATTAGTTGGAAGAAAACGTTGCATTTAGTTAAAGTATTTAAAACTAGAAGAAGTGGTGAACAGTTTTTAAATCAGTCCTACCTAGATGAGAACACAAAAGAGAGTGTTGAGTCCGACTGAGAATAGTGCTACTCATTAGTGGGTTAAGCGAGTCATAAAATAAAACTACTTATTCAAGTATTAGTTTTGAGACCGAAATATTTTTGTATATACAAACCCAGCATAACATAAAAAGGCATCCACTATTTACCCTAAACCAACCGTTTTTCACTAAAAACAATTTAAATAAACAGTGGAACTTGGTTATTTGATACAACTAATCACCAAAGTGAATATGAATGAATACCTTATGAAAAAATGTAGCTCCGGTAAGAATCATTGAGAATTCACATGTGTAATCAGAATTATAAGACCATGACCTGTTAGAAGCATTCCAAAAATGTGCTCTTGCTGGAAAACCAACCAACTGGTCACGATGTTCACGCCACACGCTATAATTTGAAAGTTAAAAGAAGTAATATGTACATACAATACAGTAATGCTAAACACAATACAATTAATTCATTGAGTCAAGTATGAAAGAACTGGTTATTTACATTTATATCATCATGCATAACCAAAAAAAAATGCTTTATTCTGACAAATCATGAGACGACTCATAGATAATAAAAGCCGAATGGATCATTTCTAACCTCTCAAGAGTACATCTTGAACACTGCAGTAGAATGAATTTCCATTTTAACTGATTTCTTAGATGTAACACACAGTGAAACAGTTTATATACAAGATTGTGTTTCGAACACAATCTTTTGTTCATAGTCATATCAAGATAAGTATTTCAGCGAAGAGTCTCTTTTAGCGATTTCATTTTCAAAGCTGTACAATCTCAAATTTATACATTTTTCTAGTGTAGGCATTTGATAGTTAAAAACGGTTTTTCGAGCATGGGAACACAAATACTGTTAATAAATAAGTTTTCATCAAAATCCAAAAACCAAAAAGCTGATGAGTAGTGAATATTAATCAAAGTAAGTTTGGACAAGAATTTTCGTAACATGACGACATAAGTGTGAAATGAATTGTGATCAGGCAGAACATAAGAACAATAATGAGTAGCAAATTACTGAGGAAGTGAAAAGTGTTTAAAAAAAAAAGATGAAAAGCAAAAGTGGTGAGGGGGGAGGTTGAGGAAACTGAAAACAGACTATGAGAGGAGAAGGGGTTGAACAATCTTCTTTTACGTACATATTCTGTGAATGAACGCCATTTAACCAGTTTCGCATGGTCAAAAAAATAAATGTTTCTATCTCGAAGAATTTTTCATTCTTACTTGATAAACAAGCAAACCTTCACAAATGTATCCTATGTTAAACACTACTAACAGAATTGTAGCTCAGTAGTTTATGCACTCAAATATCAATCAGTGAGACAGGAGTTCAGAAACCACTCCACCTACAGATATGTAGGCAGTCAGGTAGAATATCACTAGTCTTTTTACAAAACACGTGGCTCATCGCTTTCTGTACGAACATGCGTGTGTTTGTTGAGTACATTTCGATTCCGATTTGACTCCTGAAAGACGATCATTTGACATTTTGCCGATATATTTATACTTTAAGTAGGCACCTTCAATCGTTTGAAAATAAAAACTTCGAGCTTAATGAATACAACAAACAAGTATCAATCACACTAGCTAATCAGTACTCACACTCCAGATGATTTCGACAAATACATTTATTTCGCTAACTTTACTTGATCTCACCTTTGAGTATGGTGTACAAGAAGGAAATGAAAATTATATTACTAATAGTGTTAGTTACTATGTTTAGTAATAATGGGCAATGGCTAGCCGTGGAATCCAGGATGCGCATTTCGTCCTATTTGGGACTCGTTAGCTGGATGTACCTGCACACCAGTGAGTGATGTTGTTCCCACAGGGACTCGGATTCGGGAGCGATCGCTTCAAACGCCAGTGCGTTATCCACTACACCACCGAGCCACGATAGCCACTTCTTGTGCGACGGGTATAGGTTTAGTGTTATTGCTTGTATTACACCGTCGTTGATTGGACCGAATTGATCAGTCTCTGTTGGCATATGGGCTCCTATGCGGATGCCTCGATATTGCCTGTCTTTTAACTATGTTTAGTAATGATGGGTAGTGGCTAGCAGTGGAATCCAGGATGCGCAGTGGTAATTACTGTTGAGTGATAAACTATTTACACGTAAAAAAAAACAATGGAAGAGTAGCAAATCAAATAAAACACTGTTCACCCACAACCTATGTATTCGACACAAATAATATATTTACGGCATTATAACTAATTACAGTGGCAGGTTACTAAGCGATGAATACAATTTTGTGCTGCAGATTCTGGTTTAAAATTAAACCAACTAAATTGAATACAAATATCAGGATAAGTCTATGTTTCGCCTTTTCATTTGCTTAACTTTTCTGAATATTAAAGATACCAAGTTATGAAGTTCATCCCAAAAGGCATACAGACGAAATCAATGTAGAACCTCGTACACAAGTGAGTCGATTCAACTTGTCACAATTCAAAGTAGTATACCAAAAGTAAATTTTGGGTAGAAAAAAACTGATATCAAAGTAGACTAAGGTATATGAGGCGAGAGAGAACCTAAACAGTAAGTTTAGTCAAAACATTCAGGCTTTAGAAGTGTGAATATATCTGCGTTATTGTAACCGATTTTCAACCATTTCACTAAGAGTTATCAACCACTAATTCTTGTCATCTCCAGGACCCCAGTCAGGTACTCTGTTACTTCACACGCAGCCTAGATCAACCATCACGGATTTCATAAACTAATGTCACGTCTTAGTCTGACCACCATGAACCTTATTCCCGCCTAATCCAACTCCCACTAGTTGGTTGGTAGTTGAGCGGCACGTGCAGCGCATATCCAAGCCAACTTGGTCGATGAAGATTCACGTCATCATTGACTGACATGCCTTCCTTCGCTAGAACCCTTCATCTATCCTCAATATTGCTCGCGTGGAGATTCCAACACAAGCGAGCAATCATTCCAAAAGACGCATTTCGTATACAAACAAAAAGCTAAACTATAGATATGCATCTTACTCAGACTAAGAAACTCGCTGAATCATATGTACTGATTCTTTCCAATTGATGCACTGACTTGCTTAAGTACTGATTGTGTTCGATAAAGAAGTAACCGTAACAAGATGACGTCAAGCTGCATTATATCTACCATTTCATAGTACTTTAATTCGATTACATAACGTGGAATTTAGTAAAAATGCTTAACAATCTGAAAACACTGCAGCACTTAAACGAACAACTCATGGACTAAGAGGAACAACCAAAGAGGAACTACGTAATACAATCAGTTTTCAGCATAATATAATATATTCTCAATCATTAGATTAAGTGTTCTAGAAAACATTTCAACTTCAGGCACCAGAGTTGAATTTGACGACAAATCCTTACCATTCACGATAAAATTGCTTTGACTATTCAAAGGTAAAAACGCGATTGAAAACTAATTTCCTTCCTTATATGCAAATACCATAATCTCTTAAAATGGTGAAATAGAAATATTTATATATGAAACATTTATCATATATCTTAACTTACCGGAAACCAAAATGATTTCATCGTGACGTAGCTGAATATCATCATCTATAGACAATATTGCATCAGTCTCTAACAGATCATACGGCAAGAATCGATTATTCAAACTATTATTTTGACTGTGAATCACCTGTTAGAGGATATGGTATGAAAAAAGTATGAGAAAAGTTGAATCAAAGAAAATTCCAGGAAAAGTATATTGTTTTAATGATGGATCGTGGCTAGCAGTGGAGTCCAGGATGCGCATTCCGCCCTATTGGGACTCGTTAGCTGATGTACCTGCACACCAGTGAGTGATGTTGTTCCCACCGGGATTCGGACTTGGGAGCGACCGCTTCAAACGCCAGCACGTTATCCACTACACCACCGAGCCACGATGGCTACTTCTTTTTTGACGGTTATAGTTTTTAGTATAATTGTTTTTATATCATACCCTCGTTGATTGGACCGAATTGATCGGTCTCTATTAGCATATGGGCTCCCGTGCGGATGTCTCGATATTGCCAGCAATCTAATTATGTTAATGATGGATCATGGCTAGCAGTGGAATCCAGGATGTATATAAACTGATCACTAGGATATTATTAGTGTTATGATGCCTAGGCCAAAAGTGCTAAACAAATTCCATCAATGAAGCTTGTAGTGTGATCACTATGTTATGATAGTCACTATCGAGTTCTACTTTGCTTGATAAACGCAATTGACAGAAAGACTTAGGCCTTCGTTTCAAGCTTGCTGACAGCTAACTCTGTCTCACTCAATAATTATATACTAGGTGAATCCCCCTCCGAATATCTCAGCTGTAGTGTCTATGACTACATGATGAGGTGCTACCGATTGGAATTACTAAGCAAGCCAAAATTTTCTCAACATCACAACTACATGTTACTGACAAATGCCAATAAACATGAAATCTATGTTCGGAACTTCCTGTTAATCGCTTCCGATCACCTGGCATTGAATTTACTTTGTTACATAAAGTGTTCTTAGAATGATAACTATAAATATGAATGCAATCCAATATGTACTATAAAAAGTACCCATACTAGAAACATAAATATTTACCGCTATATAGCTCTATCTGTGATGAAACAAGATAGCGTTACGCCTCTTTGAATAGCTGTAAGTATAGTGTATTCGAAATGCTTTAAATATGGAATGTTTGACTCAAACTACGTGAGTGAACAATTTACAAATGAGTGAAGGCATTGAATAGAAAGCAAGATGTTACTTCACTAAATTTCAAGAAGAAAGAATATGACATTGTGCTTTAAAGGTTAGCCAGGTGTTAATGTTTACCTAAGAATGTAGAAGTCAGATCGTCATCTGCTTCATTCTTCACAGAAATTTCAGAAGAAGAAAACATGTGAAATATTTAGCGAAATCAATAATAATAATCCTAACAAACCTACCTTGATTGGTACATGCAACTGTGGCCAGCTAAGATCAGGATGTGGAGTAACGGGATTGTTCCAAATAACCACGATTGAGTGTAGATAAGGAAGATTTAAAAAGCTCTCCAAAGTTTGACATACCAGGTTATAACGATCATAAGTAAGGATAACAACTAAAAATATATGAATCAGTGAGTAGCTTACATTTATTTATCAAAAGTGTGAACTACTGAATGGTTTGGTCAGCAAATGGTTACTTCAAAACTGGAAGATATATTCAATATAAGTTATTTGTACAAATAATGATACAATAAGGTTTCGCAATAATAAACTGCACTCAAAGTAAAGTTAGCTTATAACATCTACAAAGAGTGCATACACTGGTTTGACCGAAGTTATTCGTTGATTAAGAGCTCATTACGCACTGCACGAATGTGCACAAGGTGGCTGAGTGGGTTTTTTTTTCGGAAAGCTAAAACTCATGTACCTTCTATTGATTCAATCGTAACTGATCCGTAAGAGAAAGAATATAACCTAGAAGAATATTGTTAAATTTGTTCAAATAAACATAATTCACTCTGCGACAACTTTATTCCCACTAATCACCTTGTGTCAGACATTATAGGCCCCAGTGATTCTTACCTAGTGTAAGTAAATTCAGTCTATGCTATAGCAAAACCACCTAAATGTAAGCAAAACAAAATTGTTTCAACTGACGTAATTATCGCATGTATGTTGGTTACGTCAGTATGTGGGGTGGATTGAGTCCAGGTCAAACTACGTTTTATTCCCTCATTCCCATTTGGACAATGTTGATTCCACTTTATGTGAAGAGATCTTGCTATGAGACAATTTTTACAACTTTTAAAGCCTTTCTCAATAATTTCGATGTTGTCAAAATAAAGCTTGGGACCTAAAATTATAGTATGTGAAGTTGAAGTGTTTTCAAGCTTTTTCAACTCTACAGGATTTCTGGAGTCGGATGGAAGCTCTTCAATGTTCATTGTTTCTGTCCTATACTGCATCATATTCTGACCATTTTACTTCATAAACACAACTAGATTGTAAATCCAGAGGGATTTTGTGATTCAAATTATTTAGACCTCAACAATAGTCATCCCATATAGATCAAAAACCTCGAGTGAAATTAGTAGAGTGCTCAACAAATCCAATATCAGAGTACAAAACTTCAAACATATTACAGAGCTCCTTATTTCATGGATATAATCTTTGTCAACAATTTGACAATGCAGTCTGCCTGAACTTTGGGCTACCAAATTTATCCATCAGACATTTTCCATCAAATTCTTTCCTTTCAATTTGTTTTATTCATTTAAATATGCCCTTTGAATATATCATGTACTCTTGCACATTTTTAAACTGTTTTCAACTCTTCGTTTCTCAAGTCAATAATAAAGCAGAGGAAAAATGTACGTTATGTGAAAATAGACTTTTCGGTGGAAAAAAGTACATCATATTTTTATCCATCAGATGCTTAGCTTGAGTTGTAGACTTTTGTACCGTCTGAATGAACTACCACTACCAAAATTACGCTTGTATTTCTGTTGATTCTTAATTATGGACCCGGACGGCCATCCAGAACTAGCTGCTTATTTCACATTATTGCTTTGAATACTGTTATTATTAACATCATTCCAATGCAATAACCGTTTCCTTTGAAAGTAATGTTCCGGATGTGAATTTGTTGAAAAATTCCATGCTGAGAATTCCATACTGTCATACATATTGTTTAGAATAAGGCGATTACTATTATTATTCATGCAGAAGAACACTTATCATATATAAGGTTGGATATTGTAAATTCCGGTTTACTATAAGCTTTGATAAAGCCTATTTGCATTAAACAGCGAAACGTCAGTTGAAATAAATCTATCTTGTCTTACATTCATTGGAAAATACAAGTACCAAAATAAGATTATTTATCCAATGTCCAAATTTTTTAACATAATAAAAATCCTAACTTGATTTGGATATCTATTAACTAAATGAAAGCTCATATTCCAATAAAAAAATAGTCGCCTACACAAACTGATTGGTTTCAGTGAAAATTATTAGCAAGCTGAAATAATCAAGCTATAAATAGAAAGATTATTCTCATAACTTCTTAATAACCTACTTCCTGATGAGATTGAAAAGTAGACGATCATAAAACGTGTAGATATTATAGGAGACAACCAAAGTCAGTAATTCATGGAACAATTTTCCACTAACAGTTCAAAAGACTGGTGAAAAATTAGCTATTGAGTCTTAAACACAAAAAGTAAAGGATATTTTTCAATATCTACCTTCTATTATTCAAAACAAAAACTTTAACAAAGACTACTCTTTTGAATGAATCTAATCTCAAGTTGCACATTCGGATCTATATGATTGGTATTTGAAGATTGTGATCCGTAAAAGAAATTAAATGACGGGTAAAATAAATAACGATGATATAACGCTACTAGTTAAAGAAATACAGGTTGAATGATAACTAAAGGGGTTTACATAAAATTTTTTAATCGTTTATAGAGTAGAAATGAATTTGAAAAAGAGAGGAAAACTTGATCGAGCTAGTTTAAACAAGCGCAGGATTAGACAACATGAATGAAAAAACTAATTGAAATAAAAAAAACATATTTTTATACTGGGTGATGATTAAAAGTGAGATGCAAATATGGAACGCGGCTG